TTGATGTGTTTAGGTAAACATGAGGTCAGATTGAGATCATTTCATGACCCAAAGACCAAATGTTAAGGAACTGAGAGCCCAGTAAAAGTTATCTAATGTTTAAAGTCTCTTTTTCCAAACATTTGCATGTGGCTTGTTTTCCTTTTTCCACTGAAAACTCTCCCAGACAAAAATGAGACTCTTGGCTTGTTTGAAATGTTGCTAGAAAAATATTTTATCTTACTGCAAGCATTTAAGAGATCAGTTCACCAAGTATTGAGAACCACAGAGCTAGAATGTCCACCATACCTACAACAAACGTTTGCTGATTCAACTTTGTGTTTATATTGGAGGGTTCAGTGCGTGGGGATGTGTTGTTTTGATCCCCCTTATTTCCATTGCTAAAGCCAGGATAAATTCCAGAGTCAACTTTGGGTCTAACTCAGTACAACTGAACAGCACTGTGCAAACCACATCATGTGAAATCATTTGTCATTTGAACTTTCTTCACTCGAAAATCCTTTGAGCATAAAAAGTCGTTTTTTGTAGCAGAGTTACTACCACATCCTCACATGGCATGTGGCAAAATGCGAGTGGCAGTTCTCCTGCTTTTTCTTTCAGCAAAGAACTCACCCTTTTGTTTTAGCTTAAGTAAAGCTGATTCAAACCATTCTCAACTTTCTCCTTGACCCATCTGCTGTGTTCTTTGGTCTTCATGTTGCTGTTTGTTACTAATGTTCTAAAAAAAAAAAAAAAATTCATGGAACCCCTGGATTTATGCTAAGAAAGCATTCACTAATTAGGTGAGGACTCCAGGTAATGAGTTGCATGTAGTTTTATATAGGGGCATTGGTTCATTATTACTCTTCTAAGAAAGCGTTCAACTATTATAATATACCAAACTGAGGCTAATATTGTGTGTAAATCCCTCTGCCTAAGCTTGTCTGTTGCATTGACTGCAAGTTTGTTGTGTTTGAATGATCAGGTCGCCCAAAATATTCCTCTTTTTTTAAGCTAAAATTAAACTTGATGCATAAAGTTTTTTTCAACCCCTAGATCATGTTTAAACTTAAAAGTATAGTGGAAGATGTTAAACAGAGCGTTCACGAGGAGAAATGTGCTCGTGCATGCTCTTGCACATGCTTGTAGGGTTGTGCATGTGCATTTTAAAAAAATAAAAGTGGACAGGGCGGGTTTTTTCCTCCACTATACTTTTAAGCCTCATCATAGATTGTAAATGTCGCACTTTATTACAGCCTTTTTCAGCTGTATTTTGCGTGGTTACTGTTTGTAATGGGAAGTGTGGCAGGATACACCATGTGATGCTGCAAAATGACATCCTGCAAAACTATTTTACTGATAAATACTAGTAACAAAAACAAATAACTACAACTAAACTTAAGATACAAGCTGAACAAATGCCAGCTTAAAAATGCCAAAATACTAGCTTTGACACAAGTCTTGTTTTTTTATTTTTTTTTTATTGAATAAGTTGAATTTGGCAAATGTGTAAGAAATGTCTGCCCTGAACACTTTTTTCCTTTTCCTTCTCTTTCCTGTCCCTCCACCCACTCCCTCTCTGTCTTTTAGACTCTCACGAAGCCTGTGGATGACTCAGCTTTGGTACATTTTGTCCTGTCCATCTATCTTCAGTGCATATGGTCAATCCCGGCAGAGCCTTCCGAGCTGACACAGGTAACAAGGAGTAATCCGTCCCCTGGAACAGTGCCTCAGTAATCCGTATCGAATGCAGACCTCATGTGATGCTTGAAAGAGGCCACCTGTTGCTGAGGTCACAAAGGACTCGTAGTAGTGCCATCTAGGGTCATCAACGGCCGTATCCACAAAATCCAAATGGGTAACAAACGGCTGTCTGAGTCTTGTTCGATAAATTCAGAACCGATTAGCTCAGTGTAGTTATCAGATAACAAAGTTGATGACTGTCGAATACACAATGGAGGAGAGAACTCAGGATGTTTCAAAGCTGGCGTAGAGGGAAATGACATTCCTTTCAACAAAGCATTTAAGTGAAAGTTATTTTTCAAGATACTGCATTCCTTGCAAAGCTAGCTGGATGCATATTTTTCTGGTGACTTAATGGCAGCTAGAGTACAGAAAGAGTCTGCACACATCCTGCCATTGTCCTCATCACTTCCTCTCTCCTCTATCTGTCCACAGAGTGTCCTCCAATGCCCCCTATGCTTTCTGAACTACTATGATCCTAGAAATAGGCTTTTAGACTACTTTTGATAGAGGAATGGCAAACTTTAGACACCTTTGCTGATCTTTAACAGTATGTATTTTGACCTGTTCAATAATTGAATACACATATTTTACTTGCACATAACACAATTGCCTTTTCCCTAAGAATGTGCACAAAAGTGAAATGTCTTGCTAATGACTAAAAAAAAACTCACAAACATTTGCAAATGTTTTTTTTCATTAAATTAGGAATGCAACTAAATCAGATATGAATAAGTTTGTTTACCTGATAACAGCACCTCTCTATCACCTGTCCTTTTTTCGTCTTTCCTGCCTGTGATAACATCCAGTTGACCATCATGTGAATCATGTGATGTGATAAAGGTGTTTTCATTGCAGTTTGTAAATTGCTTCATAACTCATATGGCTGTTAAACCGCATGGTTTTACACTTTCCCGAATATTAGTTAGGAAATTGATAAAAATGTGAAAATAAAGTTTACTTGTGGGGGATCGTGTCAACTTGTAAAATGCAAATGGTGTTATCAGAGGTCTGTATAGCAGTTTTCTTTAAAGAAAATCATAAGAAAGAGGATTTTGAATACAATTTGAATACAAAATCAGGTGATGATTTTTGATTTTCCCTAGCTCTTAGCCACTGTAATGATTTGAAAGGCCAAAAACGTTTATTTTGTCTTCTTCTTTTCATTAATGAAAGGAAAACCCACAATTGTCACAGAAATCGAATCCCACAAAAGTAAGAACAAATAAAAAGTCACTTTGCTTATCAACCATGCTTCAACTTAATGGCTTAAAAAAGTTAAACCCATAAAACAGGCATGGAGAAGAAAAGAAAAAACCCTTAAAAAAGACTGCAAATAACATAAGCAAATAGACACGTTAACTAAGGTTGTTTCCTTTGATTGTCATCAAAAGTGTCTCCAATCTTGTCATCAGTCAGTGGGCCTATATATATAGGGCTACAGGTAGACACTATGCTGTTTGGTGACATGGTGTGTACCACACTCAACATGGACCAGAGGGTGTGATGGAAAGAGTTGTTTTAGGAGATTAGAAAGAAAATTTACATCTTGTTAAAGGGAGAGGAAATAAGCTCCAATAATCTACAAGCAGCTTGATGTTGCTGTGACTACAATTAGACATATTATTTAGAAATTAAAGATCCATGGAACTGCAAAAAACTTCCTGGACATGGCCTCAGGAGGAAACATTTATGGCAAACCAAAGAGACAGATAATATGGATGGTAAGAAAAAGAGCTGAGAAAAACTTCTAAAGAGATTACGGATGAAATCTAAGCTCAATGAATATCAGTGTCAGATCACAACTTTGTTTGAGTTAAAGTAGACTTAATGGTGGGTGACCAAAGAAGACAAGGAAGACAAACCGCATGTTGATAAGAAACAAAGCTTCTGGGAGAATGCATATGGACAAAGGAGACAAAAATAAAAGTTTTGGCAAGGGACCTCAGCTCTATTTTTATAGACAGCAAAATAAATTAAGAAAAGAACACTTTCCCTACTCTGGAACATGAAGGCATAACAAGGTAGCCTTGTGAGACCATCCTGATCTCGCGAGCTTTCAAGGTTTCACTCGCAAATCAGTCTGGAGACTCTCCGTTAAAGAAAATTTGGGGCCGTTCACCAAACGAACGTCCAATCAGCGTTGGCTTTGAGGCGGGTTGAGGTGTGATGCAACGAGAAGCGCGACAGTTCAGTCTAAAGAACATGGCGGCTTCAGCCGATGAAACTAGCGTTAGCGTGGCTATCGAGCAAGTTTTATCGGAATTACAGAGTATTTCTTCACTGAAAGAAGAGCAAAACACTGCTCTGGAGGCTTTTCTCAGAGGAAAAGATGTTTTTGCTCTTCTCCCGACTGGTTTCGGCAAGAGTAGCCTGGCTTGTGGTTGTGTTTTCATCGTCGCTCTGTTAGTACGTCATATGCTTCGTTGATCTGATTGGTTTATTTGGCCCATCTATCACCAACATAGGCCAATCAGCTAACCAGTATTTTCGCCCCTTCACAAAAGTACTTTAACGGAAGGTTTCCAGATGGATATGTGGAGCTCTATTTTAGGGAACCCCTTAAAATCCCTCATAACATGAAGGCATAATGTGTTAAAAACCTTGGTCTCAATCATAGGTCTTGAGCCAAAACACAAACTGAGGCAACTGGAGCAATTTGCTCATGAGGAGTGGACCAAAATATCTGCTGATCAGAGCAGAAGGTTTTTTTTACACTTACAGGATTGCAGTGATTGCCTTAAAAGGTTGTGCAACAAAATATTAAGTTGAGGGTATCATTATTTCACCAGGCTGGTTTTATTAGTTTATTTTTTGTCATTCCATGGAAGCATAGTTGGAGAGCAATATCTGACTAAATTGTTCATTTTCATATTTATGACTTTTGCCAGATTTATTATTTCTGTTACTATTGTGGGTTTTTCTTTCAATAAACAAGTAGTACCATAGATTTAGTCAAGCTCAAGGTCAGAGGGACAGATTTACCGTGCCTATGACCATTTTTGCAGCCCTCAAGATCCAAAAATAAGCTATCACATCAGGAAGAAGAGGCATTTATTCTTCTAAAACTACACAAAGTGGCTTTAAGTGACAAATCTATGGGAGGTAATTATAACTGAGCAGCATGCTCTTTGTCAATGATATGAAATCAGAAGTTTCACTTATACAGCTGATCTAAAAGTCAATAACACCCCTGGTTTAGAGTGTTAAAACTCCTCTGCAATGCTTTCAAGTGTCACAAAGTGGGAGTTTTTGAAAAATAAAGACACGTACGACTTCATAGGCTGACAAAACCTTTTTCAGTTTATTGTCTTTCAGCAAGATGAAGGTCAGAATCTCACATTTCTTAGCTTTACTCGAGGAGCTTCCTCAGTCCTCCAGTGGAGTAATATTTCTCAAGAGGATCCATCAACCTCCTCCAATGAAACCAACATGAGCAATACATCTTATAGCATCTCTATACAGAGTGTCCTTTACCTTGATAAAAAAAAAAATGTGCCAGGTATAACATGGTTCCTTTCCTCTTAGGCTATGTAGGCTGCGTGTTATGGAAAAAAAAAAAAAAAGAACATTCATAGCTAGAGCAACGCCACAATTCAAGTAAAGGAGGCAGGATACTTCCGGACCTCTGGCAGTTCACACAAACATCGGAGGCCGCGTGCAATCCCAACAAACCACCCGGTGGGGGGGAGAGGAGAGAGCATTTTCGTGGCAAAATGTCAACCTCTCACAACAGCGACACCTTCACCACCTCCGTCTTTCCCGACATAACATTGCAACAATAGAAATACTGTTGGATTGCACTTTCTTCAAGCTTTCATCTTGTGGCGTGTTTATAGAAAAAATATATATAGAATACAAAAAGCTTATACTTCTTTGAGTAACAGAATATAACATACAGTACTTCAGATTATGTTTCGATCAGCACATCAGCAGGTGTACATACATTGCCCTACCCTTGCCAAAATGCAGATACCACACTAAACAGGGATGTAGTTTTGCTCACTATTAAGTGCTTTGGTCAATGGGTACAACATTGAGTACGCTTTTACAATGGTTTTCTACAGTATGTTAATGCTATATAGTTATCCACTGTATATGAATGCTTTTACAAAAAAGGGCCAAGTAGTTAGGATGCACCATGACTTTTTAACATATTCACACCTGGTATTTTAACCAACCTAACTGATACCAACCTTTTAACAGCACTGTGTTGTTATGTTTTTCATTGTAAAACCCCCCTCACAAATGCACTTTGTAGTAGCAATCCAAAACATTTAACATTGGTTACATCTGTAGAGCTGAATCAATTTCCCATCCAGGAAATGGACATTTCCAGCTACGTCGAACTCGAAGGTGCAGCACCCGACGCCAGTGAACAAACTTCCGGTCGTTAACTTCCCTACCCAGAGGAAAAGGGGGGCGTTTGAACAGACGGCACTAAACGTGAAGTAGAAAACTGGTGTGAAACAGTCAGGCTGACATTCAAGTTCCGGTCCCACTTCAAATGCGTGAGATCCCATTCACAAAAGCTGATGGAATCACCGTAGTGCAAAACCTTTACACGATGCACCTTTCAATGCAGTCCTTCTCACAGGATGTGAAGAGCAAGTCTCTTTCCCGCTGCGGTTACATCTCCGGCGCTGCAGGGGGCAGTCCTGGCGACATGTGTTTGGGAGTCTGTAACAGTTTGTGCTCCTCAGAGTGTTGAGAAGCGGGGGCTGCAGCTTTGGCGTGCACGGGGTGCAGCAGCCGGACATCCAGGGCGTCATTGTGTTGGGCTAAGGAGTGCAGGTGATAGTGCAGGACGAGGTCTTTTAACGAGCAGTGGGCGTCGTAGGGCTCGGCGAAGCCGTATCCAAGCGGCGTGCTGTAGATCATACAATGCTTCACCTCTTCGTTCACACTGTTGGAAGGAAAGAAAATGAATGAGCAACAGAAAAAAAACAAGGCTCTATTTTAGGGAATCTTCAAATCCTTCACAAATCATGTTGAAAAATATTAATCTGAATTTAATTTAAATTTTCCCAGTTTAGATTTGATTGGTTTATATATTGGTTTCGTACTTTTCTGAAAGGGACCTAATAAACAATAATGCACAGAAGATGCTTTTTCTGTTCTAACAACTCAAATCGAAAGTTTTCTAAATCTCAACCTTTTTCTCTTTTACATACCGTAATTTTCGAACTATTAGCCGCACCTGAATATAAGCCACAGAAGCTAAATAGCATGATTTGTACATATACTAGCCGCACCGGACTATAAACCGCAGGTTTTTATGTTTAACACAAACTGTCTTACGCTCGCAATGTCCGTCTTTCTCGCTGTCGCTCTGTCTCGTACCACTCGCAGTAGAAGTCTGCTTCCGTAGGACCTCCACATTCCCGCACGCACGGCTACCGTACTTGTGTGCTGAAGCAAATGTGACATCAATATGGTGGATGGTAAAATCCATAGATTTAGGTCTTACCGTAGTGGCCGTTAGCTGTAAAAGTCCATAGATAAGCCACATTGTTATATAAGCCGCAAGGTCGAAAAATGGGGAAAAAGTCGCGGCTTATAGTCCGAAAATTACGGTAAATCTCATAAAAAAATTCAACATTTTGTCAAACGGTGTGGCTTTTTGCAATAAGGTCAGCCACATCAGTTTTAAACAAATCAGACAACTAGGGATGTGAGGCAAAAAAAATCCAAGCTGCGTGCTCTATTTTTGTAATTTGTTGTCCGTGAAACATGTCGCGCTTCAAAGAAATTCTCCAGTCAACAATTTCTGACGGTTTTACTAAAAAAAATCGGAGGATATAAGATGTGCTCTCCAATATGTTCTTAATTTTCATTGCAACTTTGCTGTGCTGCAATTGGCGGCTTTTCATTATGCTAGCTGTATTATGGGTAATTCTGGTGCGGAGAGTCGCACATCGTACTGTCCCGCGTCGCACGCTGTGATTGGTCAAGCCTAGGGGTGGAACGGTTCACAAAATCCATGGTCCGGTTCGGTTCGGTTCACGGTTTTGTGGTCATGGTTTTTGGTTTGGTTCGGTATATGTTGATTGTTAGCATGACATGTTGGTCGTTTTGCTGTTAGCATAAACAAAACGTGTTGCACAATGCTTGCACACTGTTGCACTTTTATCCACAACTTTCTTTCCGCCGTCATCGTAGGTCACTCTAAATGCAAAGTGGTCCCATACAGCAGACCTATAAAGTGCTGCTGGCGCGTCTTCTGAGCTCTGAAGCAACCTAAAGCAGCTGTTGACTGACAAAATGCTGCCATGATGCGGAGGGTTCAATAATGCCTGTTGTAGCTAGGTGTCTACTAGCCGGAGAAGTTTTCAGTCTTAAAGTTGACACCTTCATACCCGACCTCCATGTATAGCTTAGACCTGCTTGTGCATTGCTAACAGTAACAGGACAGCTCTTCAAGAGACGGACTAACCTTCCACAAGAACTACAGTGGAGCCGATATGTCACGGCACTTAAATTCATTCCACCATTACTTCATATGAAAGTGTCTCCAAAACTGACTACTTACACGACAGAGCAAGCGTAGCAGCCCTGCTTGCTGCTCTCTCGGATCAGAAATGTGCCGGAAATTTTGCCGTGAAGCATCTCCTCCGCTTGTGTTCGGCTCAGTTCCCCGACAAACCAACTCGCCTCATCATGATGTGGTAAATTCTTCTCGTCTCCCTTTAATACGTACGTGCTGGAAGAACGGGTAAAATAATATTACGATAAAGGCAACACTTTCTAAAAACAACTTTCTGTTTTCTGGTGTTTGTTAAAACTTACTCGTCAAGGCTGTCGCTGTGTATCCCAAGCCAGTCATTTATGCGTTTCTGCCGTACCCCTTTGTGATTAAGCCAGCTGGAGGAAGATGTGAATTTTTAAATGTATAATGTGCAGTAACTGCAAAAGTCTACTTGCGTAAGCTTTGTTTTGTTATTGAGCTTGCACGGGTCACCGCAAATACTCACTTGAGATACAGATCTCTGATGTTACGGAGCTGGATGAGGTCTGGCCGCAAGTTGTTAATCTTCCTGTCAGTCTCTCTGTAGTCCTCCACCTGTGTCCTCAAGTCTTCCTCCAGGTGCAGTTTGCTGTCGTAGATCTCTCCAAGTCGGCACTTCAGCTTTTCATAATTGATCAAAAAGCTACGGAGGTGGGAAGCAAATGTCAGCCAGACGCAAAACATATATGCATATATTTTGGTACAATATATCATGTTTAAGCACCTCTCCAAATCATTATCAGCTCCTTCTGAATGACTGTTCCTCTCGAACTCCTCCCCGTATCGCTCCTGCTCGCGACATTGCTCCTCAAAGATCAACATCGCCTCGTTGAAGGCCTCTATGGCCGTGCGCTTCATTTGGATCTCCTTTATGACAGAAAAGGTGAAATGTAAGAAAAATCGCATATGAACCTGATTTCTAATGAAAGATGCTGACTCATAAAACGATTTTGCTACCTGTGAGGTCTTGGTGAAGGCTTCGTAAAGACGGTCAAACTCTTTTGACTTCTCCTGGTACTGATTGTGGACCTCTTTGAGCTTTCTGCCAGCTACATCAAGACTGTCTTCCTTTACCTAAAGTCAAAATTGATTCACGGTCAAAAAAAAAATAAAAAATTGCATGCACTTAGTTTGGAAAACTATTTTCCGGGCTGACTTTTCTAACCTGCTGGAAACGGGACACTGGATGCGTGAGCATCAGATCCAGCGTAGCATTGTATTCCACCAGCGAGTGGTGCTGGTAGTACCAGATGAGTTCCACCACCGACGTAAACGTGAAGGGGTCCGAGAAGCCGTACTTCCCCTCATGGTGGTAGATCTTAATTAGCTTGTTGAGTCCATCTTTCCTGCAATGGAGGAACAGCGAACGCGTCATTAGATTGGTTTAAAATAGATGTGAGTGGAATTTCTCTTCTTTTTTTTCTTTTTCTCCTCGAACTTACCTTAAGGTCAAAGTATAGTCGCCTTGCATCTTTGTGGAAGCGTCCCTAACCAGAAAGGAGCCATCAGGCATGTCTCGAAGCTTCTCGTTCACCTCATCCCTAAGGACAAAAATCAGAAGATGCGTCTCACTAATGAATGATTACATTCCAAAGCTTTGGGTTTAAAAAAATAAAATTCATGATTCCAGTACAAATGTTGAACTACCTTGTTATATCTCCCCAGTACCAATCGGCATCCTGCAGAGAACAGACAGGTGGGGAAAGGCAGCTGTTGTTGTTGTTGTTCGTGGTGGACATCGCTGGTTTTGTTGACCGGGGAGGAAGAGCTATGCACAAAGGAAATAAAAAATAAAATAAGACTTAAGAAATAATTTTAAAAAACTATTTCGTAGAGGACAGTCGTCATATGATGAACCCATAAATATTACCGCTCCTCCCATTTCTCACCAGTAGACATACACCCACTTCTTGAAACAGCCATGCCTGATGGAACTGGTTAGGATCTGGGGGCAAGCCCAGGCATGTTTCCAACAGATGTCAAGAGGCCATACCATCAGGAAAACTCTTGAGTGGGGTCATTATCTCTATAGAAGTTGTGGCGATAAATTTTTAATTGTTGAAAATGTTGCAACAGCAATTATCACTAGAGCTGGACAATTTTTCTCAGCTTTTTTTGCTTCTAGAGACCAACTCAAACTGTCCCACAGCTCTAAAAAAACCCATCAATAATCACCACTACTATCATTTAAAAACTCCTCGTTGTTCATAACCATTTCCAGTTAAAAGTGAAGCATTTGCCAAAAGTGGAAAAGGAGAAATGTGCCTTTCATGAGGCAGTAAGGGGGAGGAACTGAGGCTGTTTTGCAGCATCCGCTCACCTTCTTTTTTCTGATCTCAGGAGAAGCAAAAGGCAGGTGCAGGAGGCATGAATGCGGCGGACTCTGAAAAATTAAATCTGCGCAACTTCCTCCTCCTCCTTTGTCTCTCTCCGTCCGGCCCCCTCTGCCAGAACACCACACTGACTGCCAAGACTAACATCCTTGGGATGGGTCAGGGAGAGGAATTTAATGTTTCGTAATTAAATACTACTTCTGACCCAAACCCAGCTTTTTCTCTAGTAGTTTTCATGAAATCTTGACCTTTAAGGGAGTAGGTTTATCCAGCATAAATGGCTACCATGGGAGAGCCTCCACACACACCTTCCCCTTCAACTTTACACACAGTAACAGTAAAACAGATTACAAAAAAGGATTTTTTTTTTTTTTTAATGAAACTTATCTGATTATTAGTTTTGGGTAAAAATATAGAATAAAGAGAGGTAAAGGTAAACAGTGGATGCATATGTAAAAAAAATCTATTTTTGTCACCCAGAAGCATAATAAAGGTTGTATTTGGACAGGAAAAATCCGCTTGCATTTTGCACATCAGAAAAGAAGACATGTAACATCTTTCATTCAATTGTGAATTAAAAGTGTTGGATCTGACACCAACTTTAAACAGAAGGTGCAGGCGTAACCCAATTCTGCACTTTCAATGCATACAACACAGGTCAGAAGGTTAACTTACAACTGACTAAACATGCAAATAAGAATAAAAAAAGACAGAATGACAACTTTTGGCCCCCTCTTTTTTTATGTGGGCTCCTCCAGCCGCCCCTTGGGTTCATGCCACCCTGGAGAGTGAGACATGTCACCCATACCCCCCAAAAAATGCAACTGTTCGCCTCATTAATTTGGACCTAAACTGCAGATTAAAATGATGGATGCCTTTTGACAATCAGTATAAACATCAATTTGTGACGCTAAATCTGCATTATTATAACTTCACAGATCTTAACCCAGTTATACCAGAGTAATAACGCATTAGTTAAAGTAATACAGTGAAAATCTGTTGGTCATGAGACCGATGGGTCTGCAGCCTACTTTCAGAAGCAGGCGGACAAATTAAACACGGCTGGCTGCGGAGGAGGAGGACAAAGCGCTCGTTTCATGGAGTCGCTCATTAACCAGCCTCTTCTCTCCAACACATCCGTGCGCATTTATTTTCTTTTCCTTCCCCTTTTTTCTTTTTCTTGTGTCTGAATCCCCGATCGGCTCGGCCACAGCCAGCCCTGCGAGCGCGCGCCGAGACAAAAGAAAAAAGGAGAGCAGGCTGAGCCCGATCCTCTGAGAACTATTACGTAATTGCCAAGTGAATTGCGCTATGCGCGCCAGGGCAACGCCGCTGGGGGAGCGCAGCGCCCTGGAGATGGGCATTCAACCCCCTCTGCATGTGTGCAGCATTTGATCATCTTCATTACAGATATGACAGAAGAGGATGCTTGCAAAGAAGAAGGAGAAAAAAAAGCTTTCATAGACCCGCAGAGCAGACAATGGCTGCCTGAGTTTAACCCTAACTTACCTGGTGGTGCTTGATCCATTTCGATGTAGAATAAAGCGTCGGGAGGATAAACCATTCCGGTTTTCCAGCAGTTGCACTTTCTTTGTTTTTAGTTATTTAAAAAAAAAATTAAACTTTTAGTTTAAAGAATAAACTGATCTAGGCTGGTTCTTCGGTGCAGACGCAACGTCCCGCATAGATTGAAAGAAAAAGATATCTCCTTTTGATTCCGAGTTGGAAAACATCCCCTAGTCCAGATGTTTTGTCTCAACATAGCCTGTCAAAGGCTGAGGATTTATTCTTTCCTTTTTTAGAGATTGTCTGGTGGCCGTGCCTCCTCTCTGTGCGGCGAAGCTCCTCTCCAGCTCCTCTCGGAAGTGCAGCGGCTTTAAACTGCTGCTCAGACATCATCTTGGCGCAGACCAACCTGCTAAAGTCAGGGAGGGGATAGTCTTTCCTTCTGCACCAGTCCATACCCCATAAAACACACGCACTCCGTATCAAACCGCACAATCATTAGAAAGAAATGTTTGACGATAATCTCAACATTTTCTCCTCGACGCGCTGAATTTCAGCTTTGTAAATTTGTATTTTACACGGATCCCCCCCGTAAATCATAATGGAACATCCCAGACGGTTTCATTCAGCTCCCCTCGGCTCAGCTGAAGCAGCTGAAAAAAAATCCTTGCAGGGCATGAATGGAAAAAATTGCCTGAATTCATCAAACCTAAAGACCTTGTTTCAGGCATCCAGGGGTTAGGGCATGTACTCACTGAGAAGATTGTAATTAAAGTTTGATCACTGTTGTAACTACCAGCGACTTTTTTTTTTTGGAGGCATATGGCATCCTGCCAAGGGCGCCATTGCCTGGGGGCGCCATGAGGCGAAAAGATGTTATTTTGTCAGTTGCATACTTAACTGGTTCTGTAAATTGTTTTGCATACCTAACCTACGAGAATGGGTGCCATGTGCAGTGGTGTGTTACGATTTCATAGCTTTTTGTTTGGAGCTAAATAAACAGACAGTTTTTCTTTTTTAAGGACTCAGACCTTCATTTGATCCACCACTGGTAACTCCGTTCTTATAACTGCTGGTTAAAAAAGGTCATTTGAGATTGATGGCAGTTCCTGATTCACAACAGGCTTGCGTTACTAGTCTGAACCCGAAAACTGTTTGTTTTTCAAACCCAAAGATGGTTTATTGTCACGAGGATCTACTGTCAAGGCAACAAAACATTATGCTGATAAGAATATTGCATAACCTCATTAAACAAACAAGAAATATTCGCTTTAAATGGAGGGATTTTTTATCAGTTTGTTCATTTTCTTCATTTGTTTCAACCTTGTGGGGTGAGCTTGGTCCCTAATTCCTAACCCCAGTGGTTAAGGGCCAAGGGGCAGGGTATGCAGGAGAAAACAGCTGTATGGATGTCAGTTGTTTTAGAGACAACTTAGCGCGGCCAACTAAGCTAAAAAGCATGTTTTTGGAAGGTGGAAGAAAACAGGATTACCTCATGTAAACCGTGCAAGGAAACAGTGATAGCAACTGCCCCATTGTGCATATATATATATATATATATATTTTGACAACTTTCTTGGTAATTTGTTTTAATCAATGCATTTATAGTATGTTACATGTCTAGATAATATTGTAACATCTTTTATTACATTAGAATGTAGCTAGCTCTGGCTTGATATGCTAAACAGAAATTTGCTGATGTTAGCATTGTTAAGAAGTAAAAGATAGATCATCAGTTGGATGATATTTTCAGCCAATATTTGCGTTTTTTCTTGTATTGTTATCAACTGATACGCACAAAATGTTTGCTGAATAATTAGTGCATAAAGCAGCCATGCCTTGAGACGTGAAGCACATGAATTGCCATTTCCCTGCATTTGCTATCCAATTGTTTTGTTTGTTTTAGGATAAATGGTTATTTTTGTTTAAAACAAGACTTGCCTAATATTTGTTTTACTTTGTCATTTTTATTATAAAAATGGAGAAAGGAAGCATACTGTATATTGGGGGCAGGCAAAAATTATGTCCAAATAATTAGTATAAGCTTTACAAAAATCTGAATCAGTTTTTCTCTAGTTTTAAAGGCATAGTGGAGGATTTACATGCATTTCTTAAAAGACCAGCCCTCTCCACTTTAAAAAAATGCACATGCACAACCCTGTAACCGAACGTAGACGCCAACCCATCAAACCCCTAAAGTCATTATATAGAGTGCGGACTATATAGTGGACTTTATAGAGAACTCAGTTAACTTACCGTTCAGACAGATGACGACTGCTTTTTGCGCCTCGTTGGTCACGTAACTCCTTCTCCACTGCGTGGTGCAGACAGTGAGCTGCTGTGACGGCAAATCCCATAATGCTTTGCAAGGAGAGCTCTCTGCGCAAAGCATTTTGGGATATATCTGCCTCTCCTGAGGCCTTTCCTTTCTTCATATACACTTCATAAACACTTTTTCTCTTACGACCCTCGGCCATTTTGAATGACTGTCTGAAACCGTAGCTCACCTCAAGTATACGCCTGTCCAGTAAAAGGTAGCTAACAGAATAAGCAGATAGGACAGCCTTATGTAAATATATCGCCAGAATGATTGACAATTAGGAGGACCACTTATTTATCCACCCGGAAAATAAAAGATCATTCTATATACCTTTATTATATCATTTTAAAAAAAACTCACCTTTTCTTATTTTATTCTTAGAAAGAGTCCAAAATAATTCCAGTTTGGTTAGTTAATGAAAATATTCTACCACCGAGTCATACTGTTTGGTTAGAACTAACAAGCTTCTGTCCCTTCAGTGAGAAAAAAAAACAAAAACAAGAATTAATGAAGTAACCGGGCAGTTTTTAGAGTGTAGGCTCCAGTTTAGTTTCCATGCAGGTCTGGGAGCTTTTGTCTATGAAGCAATAGCCTCCCATGTTGGCAGCTGAGTATTATATTCTAGTGGAGCTCGTCAAACACGTTCTGCAGCAAAAATGGCATCTTGGCTGTCAGCGCTCCTAATTATTGCTGTATGCAGTGGCACGTTATGAGGTCATCCTGCTGAAGAAATCATAGCAGGTGTGTTAACAGTGACAAAAACCTCTGTCAGTGTTGGGACTGAAAGAACCGATTATTTCGTGATGAGACGTTTTGGGCTTTCTTGCATCATGTGCTAAAAACGGCCCATTACTGTCCTGTTCATGTTGGATGAATACATGCATTGTGTGTGGTTGCCTGCGACAGAGAGTGACACTGTGGCGTAAAAATTAAACAGCGAAGGCCTCTTCCTCCAGCTGACATTAGAATGTGGCACAGAGTGAAACTGGGTCTGTTTGGTCAGAGGGTCTGTCTCTGTTGGTTTCCAGGCTTTTATGGCCAAATCCCTTTCGACCGCAGTACTGAGAGTTACGGGACAGTGCCGCCTGGAGCTTTTCTTTAGCGTCATCAAATTTCAGTGCGATTTTTAAGAACTAAGTGCAATCACTAAGAAAATGGCACTGCTCCGCTAAATATTTAACGCAAATACTGAATTTTTATGCTATCCAAAATAGGATAGGTTATGTACTTATTGTACTTATTATAATTAATAAAACAAGTAAAAGTCTATCACTTTGTAAAGCAAAAACTTCACACATAATGACAGTTAAAAATAATATAGAATAAGATTATTAGATTAGATTAGATTCAACTTTATTGTCATCACACTGGTACAGGTACAAGGTAACGAAATGCAGTTTAGGTCTAAACAGAAGTGCAATAGCAACAAGTGCAGGATAAATAATGGTTCCATAAAACATTAAAGCCAGAGGTAATCATGAACAAAAATGCTGATAACATTTTTTTTACTGTGTAGAAAAATTAGAAAAGTTAATTAGCATCCCACACCCTTAGGAAGAGAAAAAAATATATACAAAAATAACCAGTCATCTTGTAAACTGTGAGAAGAAACAATAACAAGCAAAAATCACAGAGCATTTTTCTGGGACCATTGCACAGGTTAACATTAAATCCAGAACTACCAGGGAGTTTTTCCAGAGTTTGAGATTGAAAGATAGCTTCATTGTTGTGGTCATACAGCCAACTGGAGAAGGAGCTGATGGCTCCAAACATTCCAGTCTGTTGACTTGATTCCCACTAAGTTTCTGATGGATTCCCTACTTTCACCACTTCCACAGTTTTTAAATTCAACTTTTGCAATTTGCATGTAATGCACGTTACTTGTCTAGTAGTAAAAGTCGTTTTTAGCCTTCATTATAATATAAAATTCTTATAAAGCTACTCGAAATAACACTTATATATGTAATGCATTGGTGAAAGCTGTCTTTGAATCCAAGTATTCTAGAATAAATATTTTTTGTGTAAAGGGTGACATGCTCTGTGAGAACAGAGAAACGGGATATTTTGAACCATTTTTCAAGAACTGGAATACATTCTAGGGAAGTCATCATAGGCCTCTCCCACTGTTGTACACAGCCTTCATATTTTTCTGAAACCACTCAAGAAAAAAAAAAACATCTGCCCACAGTAACACAAACTCCCCAACCCGAACTGCAACAACAGAATAGACCTACTTTTACACCGGTTTTAAACATGTGTTGTACGTTTTACCAAAAATACACAAAAAGAGAGC